GTGGGGGGAGGTCCTGGTGCCCAGGGAGAGGCGGGACCTGGCCCAGAGGGTGCCCTGCGCCAGGGCAGACAGGGTGACGTGAGGCTCTGCCCTCCAGATTGGCTCCTACTTCGGGGCCTCCCTCTGCTCCGTGGACGTGGACAGAGATGGCAACTCCGACCTGGTCCTCATCGGGGCTCCCCATTACTACGAGCCGACCCGGGGGGGCCAGGTGTCCGTGTGCCCCTTTCCCCGGGGGGTGAGTGGCTGAGGAGGCCTGGCTGGGTGGGGCCTGGGTGTGGGGTGGAGGGGTGGCCCGGGTTGGGACTGGCACTGTTTCTGCTCTGCAAAAGGCCAGGTGGCAGTGCCGGGCCATTCTCCGTGGGGAGCAGGGCCACCCCTGGGGCCGCTTTGGGGCAGCCCTGACCGCCATGGGGGACGTGAATGGGGACAAGCTGACGGACGTGGCCATCGGGGCCCCGGGGGAAGAGGAGAACCAGGGTGCTGCAGTGTACCTCCACGGAGCCTCGGGGCCGGGCATCAGCCCCTCCCACAGCCAGGTGAGGCCCCCTTCAGCCCCCTTCGCATTTCCTAGATTCACCTGCTGCTGCTCCCACACCTGCCTTGGCAGGAGCCCTCCCCTCCTCCTCCCGGCGGCGCATTTCCCTGTCGTCTGCCAGGACGTTAAGCAGTTTATCTCCTTCTCTCCTGTGGTTCCAACAGACCGCAGTCAGCCTTTGTGGGCGGCTGATGGTACAGAGCCTGCAGGCCCATGTCAAACGCCTGGCCAGCCAGGTCAGCTGTGTGCCTTCAGGCAAAGGGCTGAGTTAGCTTTCGTTTCCTTCTATGAAACATTAAATAACAAACCACCTCCATGGGCTTCGTGTAACTATAGCTCAATGGGCGTCCATTCATCACCCGTTTATGAATAAACACACAAATTAATAACTGGCTCTATTATGTTCCCATTGTTACGCTTTTATTTTGTCGTCAACCTGCACCCTCATGATGAGTGGGCCCCAAAGCGCTCCCCTCTCTTTGCCCAGGGTCCCTGAGACCCTCACTCTGCCTGCCTTCCATCCCACCCCCATCCCCTCTGTTCTGTTTCTCCACTGGGATCCGATCCGATTCGCTGCAGCCTCCTTCCCAAATCTTTCTCGTCACATCTCTCCATCGCCTCCCCCTGACCTCTACTTCTCCCCTCCCCGGCCAGCGCATCGCAGGCTCCCAGCTCTCCCCCCGGCTCCAGAGTTTTGGGCAGTCACTGAGCGGAGGTCAGGACCTCACCCAGGATGGACTGGCAGACCTGGCTGTGGGGTCCCGAGGTCACGTGCTGCTGCTCAGGTGACAGCTCCCACATTCCCCCTGCTGGCTGTGCGTCCGACCTGCCCTTCCTGGTCCTCCCAGAGGCAGAGTCCTCTCCTCAGCCCTGTGCGTCCCCCCAGGAGCCGGCCAGTGCTGAGCGTGGGGGTGGCCCTCAGATTTGCCCCCTCCGAGGTGGGGCAGGCTGAGTACCAGTGCCCGGAAGAGGCGCCCTCCCCCCTGGAAGCTGCGAGCGCCACAATCTGTCTCACTATCCACAAAAGCTCACCTGACCAGCTAGGTGAGTTTCCTCCCCTGGACCCAGGCCCTCAGCCCCCAAGGCCCCAGCCCTATCCTCAGGACAGAGGGGCCTCAAGCCAAATCTCACTTGCATATCCATTTCTGCTGGTGTTGGAAACCTGGGTCCCTTCTCTCCCCCCCCCCCCCCCCCCCCCCCCCCCCAGGCCAAAGGCCTGTCTCCAGCATCAGTCTGGAGTCTGCGCACCCGCCCAGCCACTGCCTGCCTGGAGGCCACCCTTCTTCTTCCTACTCCATTTGGAGCTCTTCCCACGTCTGTTCTTGCACCTTCCCATCCTCCCCCTAGTGATTAGCCCTAACATGCAAACCTGGCCTCCTCACATCCCCGCTTAACACCCCTCAGCTCTCCCCTGGCCTTTGTTTGTGAAGACCAAAGCCCTCTCCACATGCTTTCAGAGACCTGGACCCTCCTCCACTCCAGCCTCCCCCCCCCCCCCCCCCCCCCCCCCCCCACCCCCCCCCCACGAGCCCACACCCTGCGCCAAGTACTGTGCTGGACACTGGCACGGAGTGGGGTGGTGGGACACGGGCAGTTGGACTATGAAAGAAAGCTACGACAGACCCTCGGCTTCGAGGAACATAATGTTTAGCTGAGAAATCAAATCTAACTCACACTGGAACAACTACGACATGAATACCTGCTCCATGAATACATGAAAGAACGTTTGAGGTTCCCTTTCACATTCTACCTTCCATCCTCCTCCTCTTCAGGGGACGTCCGCAGCTCCGTCAGGTATGACCTGGCCTTGGACCCAGGCCGCCTGATTTCTCGCGCCATTTTTGAAGAGACCAAGAACTGGACTTTGGCGCGAAGAAAAATCTTGGGGCTGGGAGAGCACTGTGAAACCCTGAAGTTGTTTTTATCAGTGAGGACTTTGGGTTCTGGGAAAGGGAGAGGGAGGGGGAGCCCAGGCTGGCATCCCTGTTCCCCGCTGAGTGAGGTGGGTAGTGGGAGGGGGGGGCCTGGGGTTGGAGAGAGGGAAGTTGGGGTCAGAGAGGCTGGCTCCACAGCGTGGGGAGGGCCCTGTGTGACAGCGGGAAATGAGTCCAGTGGAGAAGCCCCCCGGCGGGAAAGTAGGGGGGCAGAGAGTGGGTTCTGAAAAGCCCATCCCCCCTCAGGGCTGTGTGGAGGACGTGGTGAGCCCCATCGTCCTGCGGGTCAACTTCTCCCTGGTGGGGCAGCCCATCCCCTCCGCCCAGAACCTCCGCCCCGTGCTGGCTGTGGGCTCCCAGGACCTCTTCACTGCTTCTGTGAGTCTCGCGATGAAGTCCCAGGGATGGGTGGCCGTCCATGTGTCCCCATGTGTGTAAGAAACTCCAGTAGCTCCCAATCGCCCGCCGACCACATCAATTCCAGAAGGGCACCACCCTGTCCGCTGGGACCCTACACATGCATCAACTCTCGTTTTCGTTCTGCAGATCCTTCCTAACTTGTCTCACTCCTACCCCTGTGCCTGTGACCGTGTTGTATCTCTTATTTGGAAGACATTTTCTTCTCTCCACCTCAACCATCTTTAGTCCCTAAAGCCCCAATCTTTTCTCCCTTTCTTTGGGAATCCGAACTCGGCATCTGTCTCTTCTTCCCTGGCCTCGTAGCATGTCATGGTGACGTGCCACTTGTCGCATGACTGGATCATAGCCATCTGCACCCACCTCTGTGGAGGGAGGGGGAGCCCAGGCTGGTATCCCTGTTCCCTGCTGAGTGAGGTAGGAAGCGGGAGGGAGGGGGGTGGAGGGCCTGGGGCTGGAGAGAGGGAAGTTGGGGTCAGAGAGGCTGGCTGGCTCCACAGCGCGGGGAGGGCCCTGTGTGACAGTGGGAAATGAGTCCAGTGGAGAAGCCCCCGGCGGGAAAGTAGGGCTGCAGAGAGTGGGTTCTGAAAAGCCCATCGCCCCGTAGGGCTGTGTGGAGGACGTGGTGAGCCCCATCGTCCTGCGGGTCAACTTCTCCCTGGTGGGGCAGCCCATCCCCTCCGCCCAGAACCTCCGCCCCGTGCTGGCTGTGGGCTCCCAGGACCTCTTCACTGCTTCTGTGAGTCTCGCGATGAAGTCCCAGGGATGGGTGGCCGTCCATGTGTCCCCATGTGTGTAAGAAACTCCAGTAGCTCCCAATCGCCCGCCGACCACATCAGGTCCAGAAGGGCACCGCCCGATTCCGAGACCCTGTCCGCTGGGACCCTACACAAGCATCAACTCTGGTTTTCATTCTGCAGATTCTTCCTAACTTGTCTCGCTCCTACCCCTGTGCCTGTGACCATGTTGTATCTCTTATTTGGAAGACATTTTCTTCTCTCCACCTCAACCATCTTTAGTCCCTAAAGCCCCAGTCTTTTCTCCCTTTCTTTGGGAATCCGCACTCGGCATCTGTCTCTTCTTCCCTGGCCTCATAGCATGTCATGGTGACGTGCCACTTGTCACATGACTGGATCATAGCCATCTGCACCCACCTCTGTGGCTCTCTTGGCAAGAACCAGGTCTAATCCACCTGTAGTTTCTGCCTTTCCTACCTCTCCAAGCCCATCCAACCCAAAACCTGTCCCAGTATCGACTTTTAACAATGTCTGTTGAATACTCTTCCAGGGTGAGTTAGATTTGATTTCTCAGCTAAACATTATGTTCCTCGAAGCCGAGGGTCTGTCGTAGCTTTCTTTCATAGTCCAACTGCCCGTGTCCCACCACCCCACTCCGTGCCAGTGGCTAGCACAGTGCTTGGTGCAGGGTGTGGGCTCAGGGCAGTCTCTATGGTCCATGTGGATTATCTTCCCTGGCCTCATAGCATGTCATGGTGACGTGCCACTTGTCACATGACTGGATCATAGCCATCTGCACCCACCTCTGTGGCTCTCTTGGCAAGAACCAGGTCTAATCCACCTGTAGTTTCTGCCTTTCCTACCTCTCCAAGCCCATCCAACCCAAAACCTGTCCCAGTATCGACTCTTAACGACGTCTGTTGAATAGCTCTTCCAGGGTGAGTTAGATTTGATTTCTCAGCTAAACATTATGTTCCTCGAAGCCAAGGATCTGTCGTAGCTTTCCTTCATAGTCCTACTGCCCGTCTCCCACCACCCCACCCCTTGCCAGTGGCTAGCACAGTGCCTGGTGCAGGGTGTGGGCTCAGTAATAGTCAATGTTGAGGAGTGCTCTTCATGAGGGAGTTGGAGAAGGATTAAGACGTGGATGGAAAGAGACATACTGTTTTTGCTGCAGCTCCCCTTTAAGAAGAACTGTGGGCAAGATCATCTCTGTGAAGGGGACTTGAATGTCAACCTCAGCTTCTCGGGGTGAGTGCTATCTCCTGCCATATCCAGGCACTCAAGCTTTTGGGTCTCCTACCAGCAGGATGAGAAGTGCTTGTGTTCCCCTTTGGCTGGCGTTATAACCGAGAAACAATTGCAATGTCATCAGCTAATAGCTCATGAATTCCCAGTGTCCTGCCCCTGCTCCTGCCCCTGATCCAATTCCAAACCCTTTCCAGTGGAATCTCTCTCCAGTGCTGTACTTCCTCCTTCAGCCTACAGGCCCTGGTGGTGGGAAGCTCTCTAGAACTCAACATGACAGTGGCTGTGTGGAATGAGGGTGAGGATTCCTACAGAACTGTGATCAACTTCTACTACCCAGCAGGGCTGTCCTATCGACGAGTGTTAGTTACTCAGGTAAATAGCTCCCAAGGCTCTGGTTGGCTGGGACCTTTGCCCTGCCCGGGGTTATAGTAGGTTCTTTTTATGTCTCCTATGATAAAATATAAAACACACGGAAAGTGTGTGAAGCAGATATATACTTTAACAAATAATATTAAGTAAATGTCTATGCAATTAGCACCCCCATGGGAAATAAATCCAGGTCAAGAAATAAAAGAGGGCTAGCACCCCCAGAAACCCTCTCAATATGCACCTTCCTCATCATAACCTCACTCTCTCCCCAGTGTAATCGCTATCTGACTTTGTGACAGTCAACTCCTGGTATTTCTTATCGTTTTTACCGCCCATGAGTACATCCCTAATACTGTTCAATTTTGCCAATATTTGAACTTTATTTGAATAGAAGCATGTTACTTTTTTTTGTCTTTCTCCTTTTCTTTAATACTATGTTTGTGAGATTCATTCATATTGTTGCTTGTGGCTGTGGAACGCTTTCATTGCTATATAGAAGCCCTTTTGTATGAGTATACCACAATTTATTTACCTATTCCATAACTGATGGTCATTTTGAGTTGTTTCCTGATTTTGGCCATGACCATTCTTGATCATATATTCTGGTGTGCCTATGCATTAATATTTGGAAGTGTGTACCACATGTGGGATTGCTGGATCATTGGGTATGTGTGTTTTCAATTTTCATAAGTAAAGCCGGACCATTTTCGCCTTTTGACACTCTATCAGTAGTGTATGAGAGTTCTTGTGACTTTCATCCACTCCAACACTTGGCATTGTCCAATTTTTTAATTTTCATCTATCCAGTGGGTGAGTAATGATATTTCCTTGCAGTTTTAATTTTCATTTCTCTAATAAAGTTGAACAACTTTTCATATATTTCCTGGTCACTTGGGTGTCTTTTTTTAGGAAGTTCCTGTCCAAGTCCTTTTCTTATTCTTCTATTGAGTTGTCCACCTCTTTCTTATTGAGTTGTAAGAATTTGTACATATTCTGGTTCCTACTCCTTTTCCAGTTACATGTGCTCAAATATCTTTTCTAATAAATATCTTTGTTGTTTGTTTTTTTCAGTCTCCTTATAGTGTCTTTTAATAAACGTCTTAATTTGATTGCGGTTGATTTTTATAAATCTTTAGTATATTTTAAAATAATTTTTTACTTTTTAATCATAGTTGACACAATATTATATTAGTTTCAGGTGTACAGAATAGTGATTAGACATTTATATAATTTACAAAGTATGCACCTCCATAAGTCTACTACCCATCTGACACCATACATGGTGACTACATTATTGACCACATTCCCCATGCTGTACCTTACATCCCCATGACTGTTTTTATAGCTGGCAATTTATACCTTAATCTCCTGCCCTCCTTTTCTTTTTGCTAATCCTCACCAGAAGATATTTTTTCCATTGAATTTTAGAGAGAGTGTAAGGGAGGTAGGAAGGAGGGAGAGAGAAAAAGAGAGAGGGAGAGAGAGAAACATTGATGTGCAAGAGACACATTGATTGGTTGCCTCCTGTAACCTCCCCGACTGGGGCTAGGATTGAACCTGCAACCCAGATACATGCCCTGACCAGGAATTGAATCCACATCCCTTTGTTGCATTGGCCGCATGACTGTTTTTATAGCTGGCAATTTATACCTTAATCTCCTGCCCTCCTTTTCTTTTTGCTAATCCTCACCAGAAGATATTTTTTCCATTGAATTTTAGAGAGAGTGTAAGGAAGGTAGGAAGGAGGGAGAGAGAGAAAGAGGTGGGGGGGAGAGGGAGAGAGAGAGAAACATTGATGTGCCAGAGACACATTGATTGGTTGCCTCCTGTAACCTCCCCGACTGGGGCTAGGATTGAACCTGCAACCCAGATACATGCCCTGACCAGGAATTGAATCCACATCCCTTTGTTGCATTGGCCGACACTCTATCCACAGAGCCACACTGGCCAGGGCCTCTTCTCCTTTTTCATTCATTCCCCCAAACCCCCTTCCTTCTGGAAACCATCAAAATGCTCTGTAGCTTTAAGTTTGTTTCTGTTTTGTTTGCTTGTTTTTTAGAGTCCACATGCAAGTGAAATCACATGACATTTCTTTTTTTCTGTCTGACCCATTTCACTTAGCATAATACCCTCTATGTCCATCCACGCTGTTGCAAATGCAAGATTTTATTCTTTTATGTAGCTGAGTAATATTCCTTTGTATATATGTACCACATCTTCTCTATCCATTCATCCATCAAATTGACACTTAGGTTGTTTCTATATCTTGGTTAATGGTAAACAATGCTGCAATGAACGTATGGATACATATGTCTTTTTTTAAAAGTATATTTTTATTGATTTCAGAGAGGAAGGGAGAGGAAGAGAGAGACAGAAACACCAATGATGAAAGAGAATCATTGATCAGCTGCCTCCTGCATATCCCCTACTGAAGATGGAGCCTGCAACCCAGGCCTGTGCTCTTGACCAGAATCAAACCCAGGATCCTTCAGTCCGCAGGCTGATGCTCTATCCACTGAGCCAAACTGGCCAGGCCAATGCATGTGTCTTTTTGAAGTAGTGTTGGGTTTCTTTAAATAAATGCCCAGACCTGGCATTGCTGAGTACTTCTTCATCTCTTGTTATAGCTTTTGTTTTAAAGTCTATTTTGTCTAGTATAGTTTTGCTACCCCAGCTTTCTTTTCATTTCCATTTGCATAAAATATCTTTTCCCATTCCTTTACTTTTAGTCTGTGTCTTTCATTCTGAGGTGGGTATCTTGTAGACAGCATACAGATGAATCTTGTTTTCTTATCCATTCAGCTACCCTATGTCTTTTGATTGGAGCATTTAATACATTTACATTTAAAGTTATTGCTGCTATGTTCTTTAGCTAATCCCTTCAACTTCTTTATCCAGTCGCCAAAACATTTAAATAAAGTCATTATTGATAGGTATGTAGTTATTTCCATTTTATTCATATTTTTATTTCTCCTCCTCCTCCCTGCTCCCTCCTCATCCTCCTCCTCCTTCTCCTTCTCCTTCTCTTCCTCCTTCTCCTCCTCCTCCTTCCATTTTATTATTCATATTTTTATTTCTCCTCCTCCTCTCTGCTCCCTCCTCCTCCTCCTTCTCCTTCTCTTCCTCCTTCTCCTCCTCCTCCTCCATTACATACAATAATGATGAAGTTTTCCATCATTATTTCTTCAAATAGGTTTTCAATTTCTTGCTCTCTCTTCTCATTCCAGCATCCCATGATGCAAATGCTAGTACACTTGGTGTTGTCCCAGAGGCCCCTTAAACTGTGTGTTTTCTGCTACCTTGTTTTCCAAACTGCTGATTTAACCCTCTGCTTCATCTAAACTACTGTTGATTCCCTCTAAGGTATTCTTCATTTCAATTATTGTATTCTTTATTTTTGACTGGTTCTTTTTTGTTTTCAATCTCCATCTGTGTGTTTCCCATCTCACTCAGCCACAATCCCTGCTGGTTATCACAGCCAGAAGTTAAGGATGCTTTTCTTCCTGGAATGGAACACTAAGCTGGGGAGCCTGGTGTGGGGCTGAGACTCCCTGCTCCTCAGAAGGGACCCCCACAGCCAAACTATCCCTCCTGATTTTTAACCACCACACATAGGTTTCTCCTGTATGGCTTTAGTTATAGGACTTCTATGCAGCTAGTCTTTAGGTGCTTCTCAGTGAGGGTTGTTCTGTAGTTTGCCTGTAGTTTAGATGTGGCCATGGGAGGAGGTGATCACAGAGTTTACCTGCTCTGCCATCTTGACCGGAGGTCCTCCTTTAGTGTTTTTATGTGTGGATCTTATTTAAGAAATATTTCCCTCCTTCAAGGTAATGAAAAAATACTCCCTTATGTTATCTTCTAAAAGCTTTATAATTTTGCCTTTTGACATTTAAGTCTTGTAGTTGGAATTTATTTTAATGGATGGAGTGAGGTAGGGATCCAATTTTATTGATTGATTGTTTGTTTTTGTATGGGCCAATTTTCCCGGGATAATTAATTGAAAAGTTTGTCCTTTCTTCTATTGCTCTGTAATGCCACCACTGTCATATATCAAGCCCATATATGTATGTGGGTAACTGTTTTGAATTCTTTCTCCTCCTCTGGAAGCAACCCCATCAGCGCCCACTACACCTGGCATGTGAGGCAGTGCCCACAGGGAGTGACAGCCTGAGGAGCAGTAGCTGTAGCATCAACCACCCCATTTTCCGAGAGGGCAGTAAGGTCAGTGCTTACCCCCAAATCCTCATCACTCTTCTCACTGTCCCGACCCACTCCCTTCCCTCAGTCCCCCATAACCTTCCGTCTCCCCATTCCTTCTTTCTTCTTCCATCAGGGCACCTTCATAGTCACATTTGATGTTTTCTACAAGGCCACCCTGGGAGACACGTTGCTTCTGAGGGCCAATGTAAGCAGGTAAGCCAGACCAGGTATGGTGTGTCCTTCACCCTCCAGTCTCCTGTACCAGCCAGAGATTCCTCTCTTGGTTTCCTTCCCAACTGGGCTTCCCCCTCTCTCCAGTGAGAATAATAAGCCTACAACCAACAAGACCACCTTCCAGTTGGAGCTCCCAGTGAAATATGCCGTCTACACAGTGATCAGCAGGTGACTAATCCCTGGCCCTTCCCTTGGACCTCTGACCTTCCTCCAAGGCTAGTACCTCCCCCTGCAGCCTGCTCTTCTGAGGATGGGTATCTAAACTAGTCCTTCTGATTCCTCACATGTAAATATTTGTGACCCGCCATATGCTTACACCACAATACCACATGCAGGCATATCTTTTGTTGCACTTCACTTTCTTGCACTTCACAGATACTGTGTTTTTTTACATATGGAAGGTTTGTGGCAACCTCGGGTCAAGCAAGTCTATCTGTGCCATTTTCCAACAGGTTCGGATGGTTAGCATTTTTTAGCAAGGATTTTTTTTAAATTAAGGTATGTTTATTATTTAGACATAATGCTATTGCACACTTAATAGACTACAGTGTTCCTGGAAACATAACTTTGATAAGCACTGGGAAACCAAAAGACTCGAAGGACTCAATTGCAATATTTGCTTTATAGAGGCAGTCCGGTTCCGAACCCACAATATCTCTGAGGTGCGCCTGTGGCATAATTCTTGCTTCTTCTCTGACGACTTGGCCTGCTGGGGGGACGCACACCCCTGGCTGCTGCTGTGTGCCACCTCCTCTCTCTAAGATGCAGCCTCCCTTTAACCTGGAGCCAGTCCTGTCTTTTGTGCTAAACAGGAGTGTGGCGAAGCTAAGCTACTAGACTGAGACCGGGGCTCTTCTGAGACCCGGAGGCAGGATATGGTCTTTCCCCACACAGAGGAAAGGAAGGTCAGGTTTTCAGAGGAGAGCGGAGGTGTGAGAAACTGTGGTGAAGGTCTCTAACAGCCCAAGGCCAAGGCAGGCCACAAGAAAGGCAAGTGCAGGGACGCTGCTCTGGGTGCTGAAGGTGGAGGAGTAGGGGCAGGCCAGGCGGGAAGCAGGGCAAGGATTCCACAACCTGGCTAAACTCCAGAGGCTTAGAGACTTGGTAGGAACTTGCAATGTTGCCATGGGACAGTTTGCTGCTGATGTGTGAATTTTTAGGGGAACGAGGGATGGGGGTCAAGCAATGTCACTGCCCGTCCAAACTCTGTGCGTATTTCCCCTTATGTCCATGGGAAAATACTAAAACTTATCCTAAGAGCTTATAGTGATATGTGCTTATGATGTGCCAGGCATTGAAGTACTTCACATGTATTTATGTTTATTTAATCCTTCTAGCAACTGTATGATATAGTTATTGTTACCCCCTTTTTACCAACAAAGAAATCAAGGGGTTAAATAACTTGCCTGACATTCAGCTGGTAAGTGGCAGAACCAGGAGCGAAACCTAGATGGTCCGGAGCTTATGCCAGCGGCCAGACAACATCTTCACTAAGGAGTGGGAAGGCCGAGTGACTGACTCAAATATGAAAAGAGATTTAGAATGAGAAGATTTTAAGGTGGAAAACTGATACAGAGAAGGGGGTCTGGGTGGGGAGCAGAGAGGAAGACTAACAATACTAAAGGAAACAAATTCTCACATTTAAGTACTGCTGCAAACATCACAACTCCATTATAGGTTGCCACTATTCTTAGCAGCCCTACTTTAAAGAGTAAAAAACTACAGGGCTCCAGAGAGACCACATAGTTTGCCTTAAATTACTCATGCAGGAAGTGGTGGACTTGAGCTGTGAATGCAGGTGGTCGGCTCCTGTTCTCTCTCTCTCTCTCTCTCTCTCTCTCTCTCTCTCTCAATTGATTTCAGAGAGGAAGGGAGAGGAAGAGAGGGATAGAAACATGAATGATGAGAGAGAATCACTGATGGGCTGCCTTCTGCACTGTCCCTGCTGGGGGTCGAGCCCACAACCCGGGCATGTTCCCTAACTGGAAATCAAACCATGACCTCCTGGTTCAGGGGTTGACACTCAACCACAAAACCACACTTGCAGGGCTGGCTCTTATGTTCTTTATCATCAAAGTGACAGCCACAGCTGTGGGGTCTGCAAAGGCAAGATTTATGACTTAACTGTTGACTCTCCAGAGCCAAGCACACAGCCTGGCACAGGGTAAATGTTTACTGGAGGAGGCCATGGGTGGATGGATGGATAGGTGGATGGAAGGATGGATAAGTGGATGGAAGGATGGATGGATGGATAGATGGAAGGATGGATAGGTGGATGGAAGGATGGATGGATGGATGGATGGATGGATGGATGGATGGATGGATGGATGGATGGATAGGTGGATGGAAGGATGGATGGATGGATGGATGG